GCCTCAGTTGCGATTTTTTTTTCCATTTTCTTTCTTTCTCTTTCTTTCTCTTTCTTTCTTTCTTTCTTTCTTTCTTTCTTTCTTTCTTTCTTTCTTTCTTTCTTTCTTTCTTTCTTTGTGTTTAGTATAATTTATTGTCAAATTGGCTAACATACAGTGTGTAAAGTGTGCTCTTGGGTTTCAGGGTAGATTCCTGTGGTTCTTTGCTTACATACAACACTCAGTGCTCATCCCAACAAGTCCCCTCCTCAATGCCCATCACCCACTTTCCCCTCTCCCCCACTCCCCCATCAACCCTCAGTTCTCTGTATTTAAGAGTCTCTTATAGTTTGCCTCCCTCTCTCTCTGTTTGTAACTATTTCCCCTCCCCCTCCCCCATGTTCTTCCATTAAGTTTCTCAAGTTCTGCATATGAGTGAACACATAAGGTATCTGTCCTTCTCTGACTTATTTCGCTCAGCATGATACCTTCCAGTTCCATCCAGGTTGCTGCAAATGGCAGGATTTCGTTTTCTCGTTGCCAAGTAGTATTCCATTGTATCTATAAATCACATCTTCTTTACCCATTCATCAGTTGATGGACATTTAGGCTCTTCCCATAATTTGGCTATTGTTGAAAGTGCTGCCATAAACACTAGGGTACGTGTGTCCCTGTGTATCAGCACTCCTGTATCCTTTGGGTAAATTCCTAGTAGTGCTATTGCTGGGTCGTGGGGTAATTCTGTTTTTAATTTTTTGAGGAACCTCCACACTGTTTTCCAGAGAGGCTGCACCAGTTTGCATTCCCACCAACGGTGCAAGAGGGTTCCCGTTTCTCCACAGCCACGCTAGTATCTGTTGTTTCCTGACTTGTTCCTTTTAGCCGCTCTGACCGGTGTCTTCTCACTTTCTTTAAGCAGCTGCCTGGTACTCTGTTGTGTGGATGCGCCACTTTGTTCCGCAGACACCTTGCTGGTGGGCGCTTGTGTTGTTCTGATCCTCTGATACTATGTTGCAGTGAGTAGCCTTGGGAATATGCCACTTATTTGCAAATGTATCTGAGAGAGGGGTTTTCAGAAGAGGTATTCCTGGGCCACATGAATTTGAATGTTGAAAATGAATTTGAAATGTTGGTAGATGTTTTTTTATTTTTGCCTCCCACCAGCCACGCTGGAGACTGCTGGACCCCACGCCTTGTTGAGAGCGGATGCTGGCCTTCTTCAGCCCGATGGGTCAGAAGGAGCTTCTCAGGTTCTCATTAGCTTTTCTCATCATCTGGTGGTTTATCTAGTGGGCCCTTGGTCTTTTCAGCTTCTAGAAGGTCAGTTAGAGGAACTAGTTCCCACAGGTTGCAAATGTTATCTCCCGATTTGCCGTTTCTCTTGTGACTTTGCTTCTGACTTTTTGGTTTGCTTGATGTTTTTGTTTCGTCTTGCTGTGAGGAAGAGGTTTTTATGTAAAGGTGTTCATTTCTGTTCTTTGGTGGAGTCTGAACTTGGAGTCCTGCTTAAGAAGGACGTACCCATTCCAAGATGATAAAGGAGTTTGCCCATGTTATCTGTTTTGTGTTAGAGTTAATCTCCGGAGATTTGGAGTTGATCCTCATGTATGGTTAAGGTATAAATGCAGTTGTATCTTTTCCCCCTAAAGGCTGTATCGTCTCAACACCATTTATTAAAAAGGTGATCTTTATCTTGCTGCCTTTATCATATACTGAATTTCCATCTGATTTCAGCCTTTACTGATCTTACTTTCCTGTTCCCTTGGTCTGTCTCTTTTTAGGCCAGTACCTCTCCCGGTTTTCCTTATGCAGCAGATGATATTTTAGTATCAGGATTAGTCTTATCCCCCACATTTTTCTTCCTTTTCAGAATTTTCCTGGCTGTCCTTTTTTTTTTTTTAAGATTTTATTTTTAAGGAATCTCTACCCCCAGTGTCGTGGGGGCTCAAACTCCCAACCCTGAGATCAAGATCCCCACACTCTGAGCCAGCCAGGTACCGCTGTTATTTGCTCGTTTTAACTTAGGATCTTTAGAATCTGCTAGTCTACCAACAGAAAATAAAACAGCTGGTGTGTTGAGATTGCATTAAATTTATAGATTACCTTGGGGAGAATGACCTCTGTCATGTTGCATCTTTTTATCCAAGAACATGGTATGCCTTTGGATCAAACCTGTTAATGTTCAAGGGCATGTTCAAGTTTTCCTTCCACTTCCTTAAGTTTTTGTGCACTTACTATTAAATTTATTTATGTATATCTAATGTCTTTCTGCTGTTGCCATTGAAGTACTCTTTTCCGTTTATTATGTAACTAATTATTTGGGGCGCCTGGACTAGCTTATAAAATTGTTTTATTTTTATTTAAAAATTTTTTAAATGTTTATTTATTTTTGAGGGGGAGAGTGTGAGCAGGGGAGGGGCAGAGAGAGAGAGAGAGAGAGAGAGGGAGACATAGAATCTGAAGCAGGCTCCCAGCTGTCAGCACAGAGCCCGACACGGGGCTTGAACTCATAAACTGTGAGATCATGACCTGAGCCGAAGTCCGACACCAAACTGACTGAGCCACCCAGGCGCCCCTAATTTATTTTTTTACACCTCCCTAATTGGGGGGGGTCCAGAGAGAGGGGGGAGAGAGAATCTCAAACAGGCTCTGCTCAGTGCAGAGCCCAATGTGGGGCTCGAACTCATGATCTCAGGACAGCAGGATCACTACCTGAGCCACTATCAAGAGTCGGACGCTTAACTGACTGAGCCACCTAGGTGCCCTGATTTATTGTTTTTAGGAACAGATTTTTCTTTTTTTCTTTTTTTAATGTTTATTTATTTTTGAGAGAGAGAGCGAGCGTGCGAGTGTGTGCGCACATGTGGGAGAGGGGAAGAGAGAGAGGGAGACAGAATCCACAGCAGGCTCCAGGCTCTGAGCTGTCAGCACAGAGCCCGATGCAGGGCTTGAACTCACAGACCTGGAGATCATGACCTGAGCCAAAGTTGGACACTTAACTGACTGAGCCATCCAGGCGCCCCAGAAACATGGATATTTCAACTGGTTCTCTTGAGTTTTCCACTGATATGGTCATTTCCTTGGCAAGTGATAATTTTATCTCCTTTCCAGGCTGTATTCTCATGATTTTAGTCTCTCAATGGCATTAGCCTGTGACTTCTGTTTTTTGTTTTTTGTTTTTTTAAGTTTATTTATTTTGAGGGGCCGAGAGGAGCAGAGAGAGAGAAGGGAGAGAGCCATGAGTTCTGTTCTGGAAGTGATCGTTTTGAAATTCTAGTGAGCCCTCCATATGGAGATGTAGGCTTGGAGCTTAGGAGCGAGATAACAGGGAAAAATCGGGATTTGGAAGCCATTGAGTAAAGATGGTGGTTAAACTGGGAGCATATGTGTTTATCAAAGAAGAAAGGGCAGTGGGGAGAGGGGAGCGAGCTTCACATGTTGCCATGGTTGATGGTGGTTGATGACAGAGACCACAGAGGAGAGTAGGGAGGAAGGGCTGGTTCCCCTGCCCTCACTTTTAAATAGACCTTACTTTTTAGAGCACTTTTAAGTTCATGCCAACAGTGGGCCCAAAGTGCAGAGGTTTCCAGTCTACTTGCTGTCCCCACCTGTCCCCTAGTGTGGACACCCCTCACGGCAGTGGTCCCCTTGCTACAAACTGTGAGCCTGCAGTGACGTGTCAGTATCATCCAAAGCCCATCGTCTACATCCAGGGTTCGGTCTTGGTGTCGTACGTTCAGTGGTTTGACCAGATGGATGATGACACGTGTCCATCATTAGAGTGTCCCACAGAATCGTGTCACTAAAGCACTTTCTTCTTAACTGATCTTTGGTTTACTCAGTGTGCTCTTCCCCATGCTTTAGTTCGAATTTCCTTGCTGAGCATGCTATTTTCATTAGTCTTTACGGAACTTTGTCGCGTTGTTAGTAGTCATTTCAGCCCTTCAATTTCCCCCCCTCAGTCCTTTTCTTCTTTTTGAAAGAGAAGAATTTCTTCAGTGGAAATTGTTTGAACAGCCACCTGAAAGGTGGAATGAGGTTTGAACGGGAGCCTGAGGGTTGTTCTTTGGGTTGCAGATGAAGCAATTAAGTAGATTTGAAGATTCACAGCGCGGTTTTCATGGACATGAACGTAAAAAGCAATTCATTTAAAAAGGAAGCAACAGAGTCTTCATGGATGAGCGGCCTCTTGTTATTCTGGTGGGAACAGGTTCAGCAGACGTGTTCCTAGGTTTGAATGAGGGGATTTGACAAAGTATAAAGTCTGTATCGGATGTTTCAGATGTATTTTCTTCTGTTAGCATGAGAACCCTGGTGTGTCGGCCCCCAGCCGACTCGGTCCTCACTGCTAACATCTCAGCCAGACCGACGGGCAGGCCCGTGTTCTAGCAACAGAGGACCAACATCAGGAGGGGAGCTAAATCCTCCCTTCTCTCTCAGGTTGGCCACTCTTGCTGTCCCTGGAGGTTGCCTGAGTCTGGAGACTTTGTATAGGAAGAAAGTGAGTTACGTTTGTAAGTGGTCAGGCTCCTGCGTAGAACACAGAAGTGGAACTTCCTAAGTGGCAGGAACTCCTGTGGGAATAAAAACCGTGTTTCCAGTGGAAACCAGAGAACAAGGTCGCCGAGAGGTGGGTGCTGCTTCTGGCTACCGGCCTCAACCAAGGCTGCTTCCGGAGCCTCATTCGTGGGGACGTGGCGTGGGCTGTCCTTGGAAGAAGCCCGTTTGGAGTTCACACTGCGCCTGCAGCCCTGCTTGCGGGATCTGGCCCCACCTGTGCCTCCAGCCCCCAGGCAGGCCACCCAGCTCCAGCCTCTGCCCTTGGGGGGGGGGGGGCGGTTGTGGAGGCTGCACTCCCTGAAGGGAACCGGAGGGTGCTGGCCCTGCAGCTCCTGTGCCACCCGTGGCTCCTCGGATCAGTTTTCTGAGCCGCTTCTCACCCAGTGTTCCTCCGCTTGCACACAAGCCTGCTCTGCGCTGTTGAGCAAAGAAACGTGTCGTCATGTGTCCCCTCCCCCCTCCTCAGAGTAGTCAGAAGCTGGTCCTGGTTTTTTGACTACTGTCCTTGAGGCAACTGTTTTGATTAACCTGTCTTTTATATGAAGCTTTGTTTGTGTTAAAGAGAATCTTATTTATTTGTTCAAAATTTTTTATTAAAAAGTTTCTTTTAAATGTTAGAGGGAGAGGGGGCAGCCAGTGGGGGAAGGGCGGAGAGAGGGAGAGAGAGAATCCTAAGCTAGCGCAGAGCCTGACGTGGGGCTTGAACTCATGAACCGTGAGATCGTGACCTGAGCCGACATCAGGAGTCGGATGCTTAACCGACCGAGCCACCCAGGCGCCCCCTAGAGAGTCATCTTTTTTGAACAGTAGTGGGGGAGTTCGGTTTCAGTGTCCTCTTTGGTGCCACTCCCAGTAGACAGTGGTGGTCGTACCACTGTCAGAAGAACGGAGGCTGCAAGTTAATCCGAAGAAATGGTTATGTGCCATTAGTGTAATCTCCAGGATTTCTCAACCCCTGTCTGTGTCGGCGTGGCATAGTTTAAGATTCCAAAGCTTAGGATTCATGCTTAGGAGGTAATCCTAGAGTATTTAGTTGAAAAAAGAAAGTTAAACTGGCCCGCTGGCCTGAAACCGTCCTTCCCACTCCCCCCACCAAAAAGTACCAGGAAGTCAGGTTTGCCGAGGCTCTTAGTCTTGGAGGCATTTTCTCCTGTGGAGGGATACCCTCAGCTGGCTGGGCAGGTCTGGTTTTTAAGCGACAGCAAATCTTGTCTATACAGACATCTCAAAATTGCTTTAAACAGTGGTAGATTTGTACATCCCGACCTTTACTTGTTTTCCTTAATGCGAGGCTTTATTTTTGGTGGTACAGAGGGGGGAGGGAAAAAAGCAGGAAGCTTCACACCCCATTGGGGCTGGTCTGCCTGATGGCCGTACTGGATTTCCTGAGATGAAGACGCTATGTAAATTAGCCACCAGCTCTTGTGTTACTGTGTTCCTGACACGTGGCGTTTTATTTTTTGTTTCAACGTAGTGCCTGTGAAGTGACTACCACGTGTAAGAAAGAGCCCGTGGTGGGTTTCTGAGACCTAGGGAATGACCCACGGTGGCTCTCCAGCAGCGTAGTGGGGCAGATGGAAAGAGCTCGTGAAACGAGGGGCACGGGGCAAGTGCAAGGCCATTGTCAAGCAGAGAGCAGGTGACGCTGAAGTCCGTAAGAAGACACCGTTCTGACCCGTATCAGGGCACA